AGCGCCGGTTTATACTGCAGTTCCTGCCATCCCTTTGAGGCCTGCTTCGCCTCTTGCAGCTCCAGATATGTTGCATAGTCTTCATCCCCCATCAAGGAACGAAGCTGCGCAGCTTTCTCTGCATCCGCCTTTGCTTGCTGCAAAGCGGCTTCCTGCTTCTGCAGGACCTCATAGGTCTCCCGTCTTTCCTGGGGAATTGGACTGGCAGGTTCACCTGCTGAACCGAGATACACAATCTCATCGTTACCAGCAGAATCACCAACTTCTGCACGGTTATGTATCTGTGTATTCTTAACAGGTTTCAGCAAGGGCAATTCAACAAGAATGTTACCTGTGGCTGGCCTTTGTAGGCTTTTGGACCTCTCCTTAGCCTTATCAGGCTGATCTCTCGCCTTCATAGGCGGGTCTTTCTCCTCTACAGGCGAATCCTTCGCCTTTGCCTTTTCAGGCTGGGACTTCTTCCCTGGCGTCTCCTCTGCCTTGGGACCGCTGGTCACCACAACCGATGGCGACGCCTGGTCCGGTTGGGTGGAGACAAAGCGGGCAGGGTGGTTTACACCACTGTCACTGCCGCTACTGTCCTGCTGATCGGCCCAGCGTTTGGAGGTCCCCTCCTTTATAGCAATGCGGGCGAAGGCCTTAGCCTGCTCAGCCGGATCCAGCTCATCGGCCGGCGGCTTAACCTCTAGGCGTTGCGCCTTTTGGCTGCCTCTTGCGGAGAAAAACCGCTTGATCTCAGCCTTGCGCTGGTGTTTGTGAGCTCGTTTATGCTCATACTTTTTGGGATTCAATTGACGATCCCGCTCACGTCGCAGCACTTTCAACTCTCTCCACTGTTTGGCCTTTCTGGCCTTTTGCTCGTCCAGTTTCTTGGCACGAGCGAACCGATCTCGGTTCCGAATGCGTCGTCTCTCCTTCTCCATTCTGTGCACTTGTGCGCGGGTGGATATGTCTCCCAGCATTGGAGATGCACAAGATGAGAACGACAATTCCGAGATCTCCTCCCACCGCTCATGGGGATCATTGGGGTCCGGTCTCTTTGGACTCCCCTCGCTCACATCCCATGGTTCTGGGATATGTCTGAGCGCAAAGGCCATTTTTTCCGGCCAATTTGGGTCCTTTTTGGCAATCTGGTCTGCCATTCTAGGACCATACCACCTTTGTATTCTAACCAGTCTGGCGGTGTTTAACCTTTCTCCAAACTGGTCGGCGGCCATCCGCCACCCTTCGTCAAGCTCATCGACGAGATTGCTGTGGAACTTTGTCCACATTGCACGGCACGGTGGTTGCCGGCTATACGGATCTCGAGTGTCTGGAACGAACTCTAGCACCCTTGAGCTTTCACCAGGCCCCCACTCTGGCAACGCAGGCCTCCGGGGGCTCCAGTTATGGCCTCCCGGCCTTTTATTTTCTCAAAGCGCCCTAAGGCTTTGGCCTCCCAGCCTTTGTATGGCGATTCCTCACGTCCCATCGACCGCTCACCTGGCGATGGGCTCTTCCGCTTTGGCCGCTGTCTATCGGCAACCTTCCAGTCGCCCTCGGCTTCTGGAATGGTTGGCATGGGTAGTTCCGACGGGCTTGGGGCCCTCACGACCTTTGCCGCCTGTTGGGCGCTCCTCTCTTCTGCCTCCTGGGCCCGCTGCTTTTGCTTCAGGAGGCGGTCGCTCAACGCCTTGACTTGGTCTTCGGCGGAGGTTTTGGCTTCTTGTGCCTCGCGGCTTTGCTGCTTCGCCTTCTTTATAGCCACCTCCTTTTCCCGAGCTTCTTTCTTGGCTTTGTTGACGGCGATTTCCAGCGAGGCAATTCTCTCTGCGGTGTCTTCGTCCCGCTTCTCCCTCGCCTTCTTGGCAGCAGCATCCGCCACTTGTTCCAAGAGCTCCATGATACCAGGGGTCTGTAGCAGCGCCGCCATGGTCCCCTGTTCTTGCTCTTGTTTCTTCTCCGCCGCCGGTGGGGCACTCGCTTCCCCCATTGGTTCATCTTCCTCTGCGGGTGGCGGAGTGGCTGTGGAGGGTCCAGCCGTGTCCTCCCGGACTGTTTCACCTCCGTGCCCATCCCGGGCTTTAACTTCACCAACCGAAGTCGGTGTCCCCTCCCGGGGTGTGTCAACCTCTCCCGACGTGTCGGGAGTGCCCTTGCGGGCAGAACTGTCTGATTCCTCGGCCTCCATGGTGGAGGCCGGGGAGGGAGCCCGTTGCTCTGCGCTTGCGCGTCCGCCCAGGCGGAAGCGTGGCAGCCACCCTCAGGTGGCTCCGAAACCAAATGATACGAAAAGATTATGGGTGTGGGGTTCCTGCCCTCTTTCAGCCGCGGACCCGCCTCGCCGGGCACCTAGGTCCTTACGGGGACCTAGGCGGGACCACCCCTCCTACTCCCATATCCTTATAAGTATAATGGCTACTATAGAACAAGGATTATAATACGATCTTGGGCAGGGCGTCCCCCACACCAAGGGCCAGTAGTAGGGCGTCCCCCATATCAGGCCAGTGCGCGTAACAGACGAGGTCCCGCACCGAGCTGACGCACACCGGCATGGGCATTTGGTGGTTCCCATTCTCGGGGTCGCAGACCATAGGCCGGGAGGTCGAACATTCCAGCCATGTGGCTGAGGAAGAGTTTTAATGAGGGTTGTGCAGACCGGGAGGTCATGTAAAAACAACCACTCTTTCTCTTCATCCTTAACTGTGTAGTGTTTCACAACTGGGCATGTGGCAAATCGCACAGCTAGTTCTATTCACATACACATAAAGTTTCTGCTCCCATATCCACATATTGGGACGAGGACGCCCCACCTCCCTGAGGGGGACGAATGTTACGCGCACTGGCCTGATGTGGGGGACGCCCTACTACTGGCCCTTGGTGTGGGGGACGCCCTGCCCAAGGTCGTATTATATTCCTTGTCCTACAGTAACCATTATACTTATATGGATATGGGAGTAGGAGGGGTGGTCCCGCCTAGGTCCCCGTAAGGACCTAGGTGCCCGGCGAGGCGGGTCCGGGGCTCAAAGAGGGCAGGAACCCCACACCCATAGTCTTTTCGTATCAATTACTGTGGAGCGGCAGCCAGCTCAGAGTCCGGACTTCAACGTCTTGGACCTTGGGGTTTTTTCACTCATTGCAGGTCCGTACATCGGAGATCAAAGATGGTGGGGATCTCCAAGACATCGTCGATTCTGTAACAATAGCGTTCTATGATCAAGATCCAGATACGCTTGAGCGTGTTTGGCAAGCTCTCTTCCACGTGATGGACACCGTGCTTTGTTGTGATGGTGGCAACGACTATGCCTTGCCGCATGCAGGGACAGGAGCAGCCCAGATGCGCGGAGATCTTCCGTGGACGTGGAATGTGAATGCACATTTTTTGGACCGGGCGAGGGCTTTTTCGGGGGCCCCTAAAAGGGGGTAGGGCTAAACATTTTTTCTTGAAAACTGGTAGTTTAAGGTTTTGGGACACAATCTTTTTGATTCTGACCTTGTTTTGTAATTTTGAGACCACCTTTGTAACGAATTTTGTCTTTTAAATAGACGACAATTAATTTGGGACGGAGGAAGTAAGTTGCCTTCATTGGTTTCCTTCCATGCTGCTTTGTGCCTTGATGGACCGTCACTGCTTGCCTGCAAAATAGACTGTAGGTTATGGCAAATACACATGTGCCAAAAGTGGAATCTTCTTTGCTTACTTTACTTAAACATGTGTGCGAAGCACGAACATGTGAGAAAAATCTGTGTACAACATGTATATTGTGTTCATGAATTCTGTGCTGCATCCAACATCAGAGGACCTTCATGTCCTGCCATGTCAATTGCATGTTTGGGGGGCTTTGCGATTCGTTCACACTATGCAAGTGAGGGATGCAAGAATGGACCGGAACTCACAGGATGTTGGCAAAAGGGCGCCAAGGCATCAACACCATTGGCCGTCACCACGTCAGTGGGTGGCAGCGTTGAAAGGGGAAGAAGGGGGACGCGCTGTAGGATGACCATCCGCGGCATCGGCATGCCGGCATTGCAGACAAATTTGTGTTGCACTTGTTTATTGCGCTCTTAGTTAGTATTGAGCTATGCTGGCATTAACATGACAGTCGTGACGGCAACGTGACAGTCACACTATAACACAGTAACGTGACAGTCACACTGTGCTATTTTAAAATAATAGGCGCCATGTCCCATCGCTGTGAGCCCAAGGAGGCTTTGACGCTGGCCAACTAATAGCACCTGTAAATGACACAATTTAAGCAAGCGGCACGGCCGGGTCCACTGACCAGTCAATTGCAATTTCGGCAATCTAGGAAGTTATTGTCATCCTGTTGGCGGCTGTCAGCACTTCCCTATCAGGGGCTTAAGGTAATTACTAAAGGTACTTTGGGTAATTATATTATACTACAAGCAGCAAAATCCTTTTCATAGTCCGCGAATCCCAGAGGTGCACTAATGTGCATCGCAAAGAAACAGCCACATTCCTGTGCAGCCAACAACTGTTAGCTCCGGCGCTTTTCAGATGTTGTTCGATTTGGAGGTGTTGCCTGGCCGGATCCTCTCCACGCCCAATATGTACAATGACCAAGTGTATTCCAGAGCTCTCTCATCCATCCCCATTCTCCCAATGCCCCACGGTCATCAAAGGAAGAATTCCCTTAGCTTCTCGGTGCAAACCAAAAACAAAGCTCAATAGTTCATACTTCGAGTTTTCCTGAAACCTAACTCAATTTCAAACACCGGGCGAGCAGAAGCAAAACAAGGCTGCTGGCAGTACTTGGGGACCCGGCAGTATCAAAATGGCCTGTCTGCTCTGACAGGTATCGCAATGGTCGAGAGGAGCGTGCACAGTATGTTGTTATCGGAGATGGGTTGCTTGTACATTGTACATGTCGGCAGCTGCGACATGGCAATCGCTCGTACGAGTGCCAGAAATCATTTACACGTCAGGTACCGACAAATTCCAATGCTGCTGCCATAGACTCTGCCAACATGATCGAAATCGGCTTGGTTGCCGTGGAAGGATGGACTGGAACGCGTGCAATATTGCGGACCTCGGGTTGGTGCGCTCCAAAGGAGAGGATCTGCGGAGACCGGCGTCAGCTCTCCTACCCCTGGAAGTGCCGGCACGATACAATGTAAGCGGCCGCCAAGTGCAGACAATGAGAAACGCCCAGCGCTATCGATAGCCTCGATAGAGGATATCCTCGCAGCCAATCAACGCAAATACGGCTCTCAGTCGCTTTCTGCTGCTGTCGTTGCAAACCACGAGGCCAAAGTTCCCGACTCGTGGAAGGCCAGGGAAGTGATGGGTAGCCAAAGAAACTGCATTGGGCCTTGTTGCACTTTTTCTGGCCCTGCAGGTTCCTGTCGAGTTACGCCGTGGGCGTACGCGTCACCGTGGCGTCCAAATTTCTCGCTGTGGGGGGGCTGCTGGTGTTGTGGACGGCACTTGCGGCGACTGGCGCTGATTTCGATGGTGGGTTGCTGATATCTTCCGTCTTCAGGGTCGAAATCCATTTGGCGCTCAAGGGCACTTGGTACCCTCAAGATTGGCACTTAGCCTATGGAAAACATGTCAGGACAAGCTGTGCTCCTTTCCCCTCTTGGTCAAGGATGCCGTGAGACTCTTTCAACTACAATGGAAGATGGTGCAGAGGTCTCTGGGGGCAATAGAGCACCGTTGTCAGGTCCTGGGGAGCAATCGGGCCTGATGTCATGGTACTCTTCATTGTTGCTTACTTTCCTGCAGGTGCTCGGAGACCTTTGCATCAAGTTTATGGTGCAGAATGAATGTTCAAATGTTTGATTAGGAAGAGAATGCTTGCAGCAATAGAGAGAAGGGATGTGCCTGTTGTGTTCTTCTTTATGAGGGTATTGCTGGCAGGCAAGATGTTGTTGTCAGGACCACAGTCATGAGGATGCCACTCTCTGGGTTGCCCAGATCGGTTTGGGATACATAGGTGCATATTGAAATAAAGAATGGTGCCATTCTGCTCATGCAATTCTTCAGCTACTGTCATTTGTCTTTTTGCACACAGGACGCTTGTCAGGAAAACAACAATCTCCCCAATCCCTCCCTCCCTTTCCCCAATCAAAATTGCATATATGAGGTTGTTTTCCGCAATGAAAAATATCATGTGGGGGAGGTGCTCACCATCAATGCATGCAGATTGCTGTTCCATGCATTTAATGTTCAATATCTTCTCAGCCAAGCAGGAATTCGTTCAGTGTCGGGAGCTCACCGCTGTCCAAAAGTACAAGGCCTGGCAAGTCTCTGGCACTGACTGCGAACATCTCATTCACAGCCCCAAACCACATTCTCCTCTCTGTTCTGGGCATTGGCTGGCATGGGGTGCATAGCAGCTGGGTGTGTTTTGTCAAAAACCACCTTAAGCAGTTTCTTTGAGCACGGAAATTGTAAAGCTGTGCATCCAGGGGTCGATGCTGGGCATTGTTCAAAAAACGAAAGTTCTTGCACCAAGTCAGATACAATTCCCGTTTGCCACAGAACCGTGCTATGCATAGGTTTTATCATTGTGCAAAACTCATAACATTGTGGTGGTGTGGGCTGTGCAGGTTTGGCCATCAGGGAAACTGCTGAGCATTCAAGGCAGCTCAACCACAGAAACTTACTGATCTCAGTGAGCATAGCAGAGCAAAATAGCGCAGTGAAATTAACAAGTGCACTGATCCTGCAGAGAAGGCATTCTATTGCAATGCGGCGATGTGGTTTGTCTTGCCAAACTGGCAGGCACCGGCTGTTGGCACCCACCCTTGATGCCCCCACTGAAGATCACTGCAAAACACATACACATCATATATCATCCTTTTACCAATGTCTCAGTATTCGTACCCTTGTCAGTGTTCTACACCTGCAAAGCACCCTCTGCCTTGTCAGTGGATCGCTGAAGGTCTCACATCCAATTGTCTGAACATTCTTCGTTGACTTACTAGCCATAGTAAATCCCCCACTTTCCCCCAACACACCATACCCACTGGCTGAAAAGTGCAGTTGGGGTTACTTTTCAGGAATACTTTGAAATTGTTTTGGGAACTTTGAGCAGCTTTGAGGCACACAATGGGCCCCTGTTGAGATTATTCTGGGAAGCTTGTAGAGTGTACATTAGGCGATCTGTCGATGGCATAAGCTTGACCAAGACATGTATAGACAGTAGTTAAGGAACTCTCAGGCAACAAGGCCAGCCATCAAGCTAGATTCCTTGTGTGTTGCGCTTCAAACTCAAGCCACAGCATGTGCAATATGACAAAACAGCAAAAGACTTCACCCAGTTGCAGTTTTTGGTTCTGTAGCGTGGTTTCACAACTGTGTCATGCTCACATCAAGCGACCAGCAAGGAAACGCCAACACGCAGGCCAACTCTATTCTGCCAGGCAAGGGTGTTGTACACACTGGAAGCTGGAATGCGGCCAGAGCATCAAGATGGTGTGTGTGCAGGAAGCAGCCAGCACGTTTCTCATGCTGGGTTCCTGAAGCCATTCCTTGTTCACCAAGGCACAGCACTCTGTGCCCTCTTGAACAAGATGGCCAAACATCAACACCCCTTGTCCTCTTCAGCAACATCGCCATTAGTCAAGACTCTGTTCAGCTTGGAGAAGTTGGCAATACCCACAGGCCTTGTGGCTGCTAAGCATTCAATGTGTTCCTCAGGGTGGAGATCCTGCACCCTGTGGCCGCTACCCATATATGGTGTCGCTGCGTGACGCGGCTGATGTCCACAGGTGTGGCGGCGTCCTGATAGATCGAGGCTGGGTACTGACTGCCGCACACTGCATCGATCCTAGAGACCAGGCATCACTGGGACTAACTCCAGTGACTGTCATCGGTGACTGTAACCTTCGAGACTTGAAAACCAAGAACGAGAATGGGGTGATCAAGGTGAGGGGTCAATGCTGTTGTTTTTTACACTGGAATGTTGTACCGCTTTTGAGAGATCAAGTAACAGCCCGAAGCTTAGTGAGGTATAGGCCTGTTCAACTCTTGAGAATGCAAAAGGCTGTGCATGACTCTGAAAGATTGGCTGCAAGATGACATGTGCTGGAGTTCTGGAATCAGAGAAGCTCAGCACTCAGGAGCTCTGCTAGATTGCCCCAATGAAGCAATTGCAATGTGCTGTGTTTTGTTAATCAGGGGTGCTCCAATCAGTTGGGGTCGATCAACAACTTTATTTGGTATTGACTGTGGACACCACTAGTAAAAACAGGCCAAATGACACAGTCCTGGCATGGTCTGCTCAAAATACAACTGTGTAGTTTTGGGACCACATTTGCCAGAAGTACACGGTTGGATTTTGAGAAGACCGTGTCAAGACTGTGTCATCTGGCCTGTTTTTCCTAGTGCACTGGAATCTGTGGTATGGATATCTTGTGCAATCAGAGCTCCATGTAAGCCCACAACTAAACAAGCCCTGAAAGCGGCCACTTGTCATACACTTAAGGCATACAAAAGGGGATCTGAATAGAACGTTTACATAGAGGAAATGCCACAGGTGAGGTGGTGCTGGCCAGTTTGGTGCACCTCTGGACTTCCATGGAATACAGAACATGAGATCTTGCTGCTAAATTCGACTGAACTGTGGTGCAAACAGCACACATGCCTGAAAATTTGTAGAATGCTGGTCCTAGTGCTGGGGAGGAGCTGAGGAGGAATATGTCGAATGTGAATTCAAGCGATTGACACTGATCCAGTTTTGGCAAAAAGTACTTGTTGCGCGAAGTGTTGTGCAGAATGGTCAGGAAAGCAGTGTCACCCTATTTTGTTTGCTCACTTCTCTTTTCATACTTATCTGGGTTTTGGGCCAATGGCCGCCCTCCCTTCACCAATTCTCCAAGTGTGTGGTTTGTTGCAAACTGTGCTACTCCATGTTTTGATGTTTGCTGCTATGATTGTGGGCTTCTGAATCTTCTCTTGTGTGCAAAAAGCCACAACACATTTGTTTGTTTTGACTATGTTTTGACTTTGTTTGCTTTTCTGCAGGCCGTCCGTCCTGAGAGTGCATTCATACATGAGGGTTACACTGACAGTTCTGATGTTGGGAATGACATCGCACTGCTAAGACTGAGAGAAATCGACAGACCCAGGCAGACACCAGTTGCCTTGCCCTCTCGAGACTGGAAGCTGGCAGGCGGTGTAAACCTTGTGGCCCTTGGCTGGGGGGATGGGAAAATAGCAGAACTGCAACAAGCCCCCAACCTTCTTTTCATTGAGAACAAATTCTGCAATGATCCTGATTTGTGGAATGGCATCGTCAGCGATTCGATGATGTGCGCATTTTCTTCCGGGCAAGATGTCTGCAAAGGTGATGTGTGGGCAGACCTCATGGGAGCAAAATTGCACTTGTTGCTGCTGCTGCTGCTGCTGCTGCTGCTGCTGCGAATACTCTCAAAACCCCTCTGCTGTCTGTCAAGGAAGGCTGCGAGGTGCATTGCTTTTGGAGATTTGAACATCATCTCTGACAGTATGGAAGAGAATATCACCCATTTGGCTTAGGAAAGGGATACCTATTGTATGACATGTCTCCTTCATTCAGTTTTTTCACTAACAAAAATATGTGGCGCAATGCCCATGTAAATCCCTGCGTGTGCCTTCTGAAGTCACCTGATGCTGGAGCTGGTCCCCACAGGCGATGGTGGTGGGCCCCTGCTGGAGGGACACTCCCCCAACGGCAACGTGTCAGCAGGCTTCGCCTCAGCGGACATCCTAGTGGGCATCACTTCCTTTGGCATGTTTGCAGATGAGACGGGCCAGCGTGTGGAGTGTGGCAGCTCCAGCAAGCCCAGCGTGTTCACCAAAGTGAGCAGCTTCCTGGATTGGATCGAAGCCAAGATGAAGATCAAGGTCTCTGGGGGGGCTGGGGTGGGGTAGGGTTGGACTGTCACTTGATGCCCCATTGCTGGTGATAGAGCTGAATGGAGAAGAAGGTGAAACTCTGGCTGTTCCAGTGGAAGATTAACAAAAGGGTCAAGGGCCAAATTGGGGGGGTGTACAGCCAGAGCTGCAGGGACAGGGCAGCCAATTACCAGGAAATGTTCCAGTTTCAGTACCACCAGTGTCTGCAGTGCCAGTTAGTTTTAGTGCAGGAACAGCTGGACAGAATGTGCCAGGTGCATCAGGACCAGTTTTCCATGTGACGATGAAACCCAGGGAACCGCCAGTTTTCTGTGGCAAGATCAGTGAGGATGTGGAGAGCTGGATCTAAACTCTCAACCTCCAAGGAGACATTCAAACTTGTTACTAGTTGGAAATGTTCACGTGCACATGTTTATACAGATTTTGTCTAGCAGGATGCTTTGGGGCAAAACTTGGTGGGAAATGAGGGAGAGGATCCCCAATATGCGAAGCATTCATTGAATCTGCCATCTCCACTTTCCACCAGATGATTGATGTTCCAGTGGTTCTTGAATAAATACCATGTGGAAGTAATGGACAATCATTGCAATTGCTGCTGCAATGCTGAAACAACAGTGAAGTCACGAATGATAGTTTCCACAGCTGACTAAAATCCTGATGGGTTGTTGGCCCTGTCACAGGCGTGGCTCATTCTGACAGAAGTTGGCAATCCAAACACCTGTTGCTTGTGCCATTGACCACCAACATAAGCGAACACCCTCTACTGATTTAAGGCACGTATGACTCATACCTTACGAAGCCATTACACATGTATGATACCTTAGTAACATTATTGTGAGCGAGCGGAGCTTCATAGAGCAAAATTAGCGATTTTGGCCAACCGCCGGCCGCCGATTGGTCGCCGTCGACCACACGCTGTGCACGCACCGCCCCCTCCCCAGGCTTTTGGGCGCCGTGCACCGTGTGGGTGGCACGCGGCATGGACGTTGACCAACAACCCCTCCCCCCGGCTTCCTTGCGCCTCACACGGCGTGTGGCATGGGCACCGACCGCCCACTCATGCCCCTCCCTGGAACTCCTTGCGCCTCACGCGGCATGCGTGCGGCACGGCGGGCGACATGGGCGCCAACCGCACCCTCACGCCAACCTCCGGGCTTTTTGCACCGGCGTGTGGGCGCGGATGTGGCACGGCGTGGGCGCCAACCAGCCTCCCACCGGCTTCCCCCAGTTTCCTTCATTAGCATATGCGGCCTGTTGGCTTAGGCTTAGGCATAACTAATTGTGTGTGTGTGTGTGGGGTGGGGGGGTGGGGGTGGGGGGGGGTGGGGGGGGGTGGGGGCACATTTGGTGCCATGTCGCTTTCAATTTAGATTGTCAACTTTGCTTGGCATCAACATGCACAAACTTCCAGACCATGGTACCTCAGTGAAGTTGATGATTTTGAAATTATCAAGGTGTCCTTGGGCTTTGTCCACAACATTTGCATAGGGCTTGTTAGCACCCCGAAATCTGTTGTATGCCTGCATCTTTTATGCTGTGCAATTGCTTTAAGCCTAGCCTTATCTTCAGTGCATGTCAAACCACCAAGTCACACATGCCTCCAAAGAACAGATTGATTCGCATTTATCGAAGGGAAAGACAAGCTTACCATGCCTTGCATTTGGTCTTGAGGAAAGCCAAAATCTCGTTTGAGCTCCTCTTGACATATTGCGAGAATGATTGTGTTGTTTGCAGCTCCTGAAGGCATTGTGAACAGCTCTCTATGAAGCCTATTAGTACTTTTTTAACAAAATGATCTGACTCACACATTGTGATCTCCACTTGAACCAACCTGGTAACGAACAAGACTTTTGGAATCGAGGTTGTACGTAACTACATATATTATGTTCAATGACCTCATGTAAATATGGATTAACAGATGACAGTGGTTGCCAATTTTGTTCGCACATTAAAATTTGTGAAGACATGTGCGAAAAAACCTATGAGTTGATTGGGTTATGCAGAATTTGATGTTGAAATTGAAGTTAAAATGCTGAAAATAAAAAAGCAAGTTGCGGCAGGAATGTCTTGCATGTCTCAGCAAAGATATTTATTGCTGATTGGAGCCTCCAATTTGGAGGCCACCACTAGATAGATCAATCGGAGTAGTCGTTCATTTTATTATAGTTAGGAAAGCATTGAGATCTTTGCATCTTGTGTAGTTTGTTTAACAAGCGAGAATGTGTTATTGTCATCAGAAACAACAGAACATTCATTTCCAAGGAAGATGCTAACCCAGATTGGTTTCAGAAAAATGTTCAAGAAATCGGATAAGGTGAAGGCTTGCTAAAGGTTTGCTTTGCCACAACGTACATAGCTTATCTTTCCCAAAAATGTGATATCCAATACCAATGTGTAATACAGTGGCTTTACATGCTTAACATAGATGCCCATTGCACTCTAAGCATGCAGAACCACACAAATACATTGGAGTAGTAGAGTGCACAGAGTCTAGGCTTGAGCGCCCTAGATCTTGGCCTAATTCCATTGGTAGCTGGTCTTTGCAACTCGGATCTAGGGTCGCAGCGAATTCTGGCATCATTAACACTGCAACGATGGCCTTCTGCAATGATGATCCAAATACTATCGGCCGTGCTTAACTAGCGCTATTCAATGCAAGGGATGTCGCCCTTCACTGTGCATGTATCTTGTCATGAATTCAACATTGCCAACAAAAGTTGCACGTCTCCTTGTCTCAAGCAATGGAAGTCACCAAAAGAAGGATCACCGCAATAAGTGATGATCCTCACATCTCAATTAGAGGTGGCCATTCAAGATGCCATCCGCTTCGTTAAATCCGGTTCGTTAATTTTTATCAGCTGTTCGTTAAATTCCGTTGCAAAAAAAGGGAGAAAAATTCAGAAAAAACGAAAAAAAATCCAAAAAAATCGAAAAAAAACCCAAAAAATCACAACAACTGCGGCTAGTTAAAAATCTAGTATGCATAGGTTGAAATAAAATACAAACATGCTCTCTAATAGCGAATTCCATAAACTATAAGTATGAAAAAAACCCAAAAATCCCCAAAAAATCCAAAAATCCGTTAATTTTTGGTTAATTTTTGTCTTTTTCCGTTATTTTCCGTTAATTAACGGATTAATTAACGGAATTAACCTCTGTCCGTTATTAACGGATCCGGGTGGCCACCTCTAATCTCAATGTTCTGCAGGTTTCCAAACCTTCAACAAGAGAGCAAGAAGAACTTTACCAGATGGAGTTGATTTTGTTTGTATCATTATGTGAAAACATTGATAAAGCACCCTTGCTTGGTTTGGTGGATGGAAGTGTGGCCAAGACTTACAACATACAAGTGCATCTGTCAATGATTTCTTAGCGTGTTCTAGTCATGCGTGAGCAGTGGCATTATTGGAATTGTCTTTCGGCATGGTTTGCTAGTAGATTCTTTCTGATTGAAAGGGCATATACTATGGCAGATATTGGTATTTTCAAGCTGGCAACCAACTCACAGAAATTGGATAATCACAAAGGCGACATGCATCTCTATCACCAGAATTTTATAGTTTTACATTACTAATTATTGTGTTGGTTTTCTGCAAGTTGCCTTCCTGCCTTCACTATCATTCTCGCAGGCGTTTTCTGATAAAGGCAAAAGAGTATCTGCGAAATGGTGAGTTGTATTCCACACTGATTGACTGCATGCGTGATAACAGTCAAAGATTGCAACATGTTTACAGCAATTTTTGCAGTCCCGAATCGTATGGGGTGTTCAGGAACAGAATTTGCCCTTGAATCAGAAAATAATTCATGATCATCAGGTCCAGATCAAAAATCCTGGAACTACATTGTGAACTTAAGAATACCCCTTTTGTCAGTGCAAGCAACATCACCTAGATAACAGCAAACTGCCCTCCATATTCTTCTGTCCACATGCACGAAGCCCCAATATTTGTAGGGCACAACTCTGCAACTCCGCATGCTTCTACATATCACATGCTCAAAGCATGGCAGGGTGATGGCTATTGGCCCTGGGATGGGATGGATTGTGGACCGCGAGAGTTGGCCGGTTTTGGCAGTCTGTTGTTACGGGCCTTGTTATGTGAACAATATCTTTGGTCCTTTATACGAGCGGAGTGAGATGCGACGCAAAGGCGCGCGGACCAATTATCCGCGCCTTCGCGGAGCATCGAGCGCAGCGAGGCGATTTTGGATTTTAGGCCATTTTCGGGCCATTTCGCTGCATTGGAAAAAGGGCTTTGGAGACAGTCTGGGTGCTTGTGGGGATGGTGGTCTAATGTACAAGGTAACCCGGGGATGAGTAACGGTACTGTGTGCTGCGGGGACAAGAGCCGGGGAATCTTGTAACGAACATCCTATTCTGCTGTCACTGCCTGCCTGCGGACCGCGCGCAAGGCAACGCCGGACCCAATCCACCCTTCCGACTGACGCACCGCAGCGGCCATTCCGCCAAGGGGCCCACCACGTCCGCGACGCGTCGAGATCGATCGAGCGACCGTGCCGATTACGCCTGGCTGACCGCCGGAGGGATCGACGATCCATCGCACGGGGCGCGCGCGGAAAAACCACACGCCAGGCCTAGTCGCTCATGATGGCCTCAATTCAAGCACCAATCAAGGTAGATTGCGCAAGCAAAGCTAGCACAGATTCCAAGCTTAAGACTCTTGAACCTTCTTCTCGTTTGAGATCTACAAATTGAAGTGCAAAGATGGTGGAGATTTTGGTCGTCGCTGACACTGTGCCAACAATCTCAACGATGGGGATCCAAGCACAGTCGAGCGCGTTTGGCAGGCTCCTGTGAGGGATGCCAGCCTTCACCACAGAGGCGGCAACGGCTTTGCTTTGGTATTTCTGGGACAGGAGCGACCCAGAACATGCAAAAGATATGCAGCTAATGCGGAATCATAATTCGTGTTCTTGTCACGAATTTGGGCAATTTGTTTGTTTAAATAAAAGCTAAACCTTCTAAGTCAAGGAATTTGGCTGAATCACCTTTGATACACTATGTTGATAACTATACATGGAGATTTGAATTGTAGCAAACACATTTGCCATTCTTGAGATATACTAGGAGGAATTGAAACGAGAGATTGCCTTTTTTGGAACCCAATGCATGGCAAGCTTGTCCTGCCTTTGGATAGATGTGGATTGAGCTGAGGTATCCCTAGAAGAGAGCTATGACCTGGTGGTTTGGTAAAAACTGAGGATGTAGGTAGATTTCAAGAGGATTGCAATGCAAAAAATGGGTTTTTGTTGCAGAATTTATGGTGTTTACAAGATTTGTGCGAAGCTGTGACATGGACCAATGGTCACATTGATCAGTGGCAGAGCATCAACTTGGGAGGCGCTCCAAGGCTGGGAAGGCTGTGCATAGTAATGCAAGCTGAGGAAACGACATAGGCTGAGGCCAATGCTGCCATTGAAAAGCAAGAATTTGGAATTGAAATTCAGCACAGTAGAAGAGATGGTCCAGAAAAAGTATGATGACAAAAATGTTGAAAGGGTGTAACAGAGCCCATTTGCTGTGTACAAAAAGGATCTTAAAAATTGGGGAAATTGATCTGAAGCACATGGGCAAAAGGCAAGCACAAGCATGCAGACAATTGAGACCCTGACAGAAGTGGAGAAGGACTCTTTTGATAAACCTGTGAAATTCTTGCTGTATGGTGACGACTAATGTAACCAAGGGCCACATCAATCGAAAAGTGACCAGTTGGTCAATTTTCTCCTTGCAAAGAATCCTACTTGGCGATAGGTTCACTTATTAAGTTGATTTTGCAAAATTATGGCAATATTAGGCAACAGAGAAGACTTTTGTGGTGGAGCTAGAACAGAGATGTAGTATTCTTTCTTCATTTTCCTCTTTCCCATTTACCTTTGTAAATATTTGGGAATGTACAACACACTGAATGTATTATTGTATTGTAATACTTGAATTGTTGCGCTCCCATAATGTGCCGTCATGGCAGAGGTGACACATGTGCAATGGACTGCTTTGACTTCCAGACACCCATCATCACGGCCAATGGGCCTTCTACTGCGTAGCGACAATGAGAAGTTTCATGTGATGGAATAACTGATGATTAAATGCAATAGAGTGAATTATTTTTGGCGCTCGTCCCAACTCAGGCTGGGTGTTTATGCCATAAACACAAATCTTATTTACGTCTATACAAGAAAAAAATCATAAAGTGTGTAAACACAATGTAAGTACAGCCCCATGTAAATAAAGACACTACATGCAAAATTTATAGATTCTGGGACGTGGCAGCCAGACGCCCTAGAAGGGGCAGAAAATGAGCTTTTGTTATGCTCCATCGTTGTCCTTGCCGAAGGCAAGGTGGACACTGTGTTGTAGGAGGTGGAGATGGCCGGGGACTAATCATTGTACGCGACTTCAGCGTGTAAACGGCGTGTCCCAGGGAGCCGCAAAAAAGAAAAAAAACATGGAAAATAGGCCTTTCTGCAAATCTACGTTTTTGCGCGTAAAAACTTAAACGCAAAAACGTAAATACCAAGCCTAGCTCAAGTAGAGGCAAGTTTGTACCCATGCAAACCCCAGGGCGGAGGGCTGCCGGGAACACTGCATTGATATCCTCAATATGATGCAAAGTTTGTTTTATAAGCAAAGACACCAAACGAGTATCCTGAAAGAGCTGAAGCAAGGTATGCAAGCCTAAGCAATTTCGTTGTTGTTGCCCCATAGGATCTGTTGGAGCTTGCCGCTTTGCCAGAAAACTCGTCAACAGGGGGACAACATTGCTGAACTCCTCTCCAAAGGGGCTAGCCCCAACGCCTGCTGCACCAATGTTGGAGGTGGTGCGGATTGCAGGGCTATACATGCCACTACTATCAATGATAATTCTGTAGTCGCGTCCGCTTTGGTGGAGGCAGAAGCCAATGTGATGCCAACATGCTTTAGTGGGTGGACACCTATGCATTTTGCAGCGAATTTCAGTGCCGTGAATGTTGCAAAGGAGTTAGTGAAGGGCGCATTTGTGGACGATCGGCAAGAGAATTTGGGTCAGACTCCCATGCACAAGACTGCCCAGAGCGGTGCCATTGAAGTGGTGGAAGTGCTGCTGACAGCAGGTGCCTCGGTGAATGTGGGTGATAGTTTGGGAAATTTTCCTTTGCATTATGCGGCTATGTATGGCCATTTTGCAGTCACAAAGCTCCTTGTGGAGAGCGGGGCAGGCACAGAAAGCGCCAATGAGGAGGGGAAGAACATAGGGACAGTAATTTGCAGTGTGAAAATTTGCGACCAGGACGTCACAATGGCGCTGGAGAGCCTGTTGCTATGAGGCATCTATATGCCTCAAAATCAGGGCATGGCTGATCGTGGATGCATTGCTTCATGTTAAAACGTGATTGCACACAAGTGTGATAGGGTTCAATAATGCGGTTTAGTTGGCTGCCATCGTGAGATTTTTTTGGACTTGCTGCAAACATACTATTGTAGGCATATTTCGTTGTTTTCTCGCATATCATCACACAGGCTCGCCAATCCTTACTTATTGCTGTTTAGTGGTTGCACGGTCGCTTAACCACCATATTCTTGTGGGCTTCCCTGCATTCGCAGTGTTGCGAACTTGAACGCGTGTCCTTTTTAATGACTGAAGCCTTTCTCCTTGTATTTGCCATGACTGGATACGACACTCGATATTACTTGATTTTTTAAGCGTTTCCTGGAGGTCTCTCAATCTTGTGCATTTCATTTCTCAATTCTGGGACCTCAATGGACGTTTCTTTCAACGCACCATCTTCAGCGCATTCAGTGTCCGTGTAAGGAGCTCTGCCAGCAGCATGGCATCTGGAATAAGTGCGAAATCGAAATACAAAATTGAATGTCACCGATTCTGAGAGGACAAGGCGTTTTTGGTATTTGGGCCTGTGTATGTGTATCGGCTTTGATTGATTGACACTTTGATGCGCTTTCAAAACCCTTGGAGACCACCACCCACCCACCCACCCATACTTCCCATTACGCATAAGCCTGTGCATGCCAATCTCTCACCACCACCGCACAGCACCCTCAAGATTGCGCTGTCCCTGAGCATGCGAAATCCACGTGATGACTTCCTCTCTGCCATCAAAACCAACTTGCTTGTGTGTGTCACTAACTGCAAGGCCAACCACAGGTATTAACTCGCCAATGCACAAATTTCAGTCCAAGCCACGGAGCAAGCACGGTGCATGGCGTGCGTGGCATACCTGGCGAATATGCAGGTGGAGGTGGTGACACCGCCCAGTGGCCTGCCAGGTGCGGGTGCCAAGCCCGTTCTGAATCCGCGCCCCGGCCTTTACTAATTTGGCTGCTCCGCATCTCGCTCCGAGACCGTTACTTTTTTATTCATCGACTCCGGGAAAAAGGGCCCAGCGTTACGTTACTACGCGGAAGGGTTCAAAAACCAACGGTAGGCACGAGATTGAGACATGTGCCCCCTCGCGTTTCCGCCCCACACTGGCGGGGGCCACTCCGTGGGGCCAACGCAGCCGCCGGCAGCGCCCGGCCCCCGCCGCCTCCGCCGCCGGCACGCGTGCCCCAGCCGCCTCCCAATCACCGCGGCGGCCGCTTCCGGCATCGCATTTCCTGGTGCCCACTGCCCCCCAACCCCATAGTACAACATTATACGGCCGCCGCCAGGCAACGGGAGACTATCAGGCATGAATCAGCCCGTTGGGCGGTTGCTGACTGGCTCCCAGCGATGAACCCGGGTGGGGCCCTGCAAGCAGCGAACTCCAGTCGCCGACGAGCCAACTGCTTCGTCTCGGAGCCGTCGCGGTGATCACAGCCAGCCCAGCCGCAGAGGCCAGGTGGGTTTTGGTGGCATCATGCCGTGGCGGATCAAGATGTTGCATCCGTGGACTAATTACGTTCAGGCCTGGGAGCAGCGAGGCCATATCGGGCAAGGGCGTGGAGGAAACCTCCCGGTCGCGCAGCGCCTGATCATTTGGAGAGGGATGGGCCTGCCCTCGCCGCGCGTTTGTCTCCGGAATTGGGCTGCGATCTGATGTCCAGGGCGGTATTGGAGGCCGCTGAGTGGCAAATAAATTGCATGGGAGCCAGCATGGGCTGATATGCTTGGCAGGGTAACCCTGGCTTTTGCCCTTGGTCTTGCGTGACTCATTGAGTAGGGGCGTCTTTTCTAGTTTGTTTTGTGGCCCAGTCTAAAACAGAATTCCAAGATAGCTTGCCCTACTACCAGGCGCCTCAACTTGCAGCAAAGTATCGCAGCGTCACTCTTTGCGGCCCAGAGTTTTAGCTCCCTGTTTTGCAGTCGGAGATTGAACATGTTAAACGTGCAGGGTTGCAAGATTTGAATATGTTGTGTGTCTACTTGTATCTATGCACATCCACGTCTGAGGGCACCTTTCGTTTAAGGCTGCAGATCCCAGCTCTGGATTGCTTTGCTTGCAGCTTGTTGCGCTGCCACTTCTTCCATCGTTGAGATTTGGTGCACGTTTGTGTTGGTAGCATGACTTGGAAGGCTTTTTTTGTCATGTGCAGAAACATGTTATTGCCCACTATCCTATGACTCGACTGGCGTGTTGTGACAGCATACGAGGCAATGAGTGGCACTTCCTGCATAGCTTGCCTGGCTGTGTCCAAGTGGTGAACTGGACATATGCCAAGGCATAAGAAGTTGATGCCAAGATGCTGTCCTGTGCGGGCTTCCTACATTGAAGCCGATCTGCACCTTGGACTCAGGTTGGGGGCCCACCAAGCTGGTATGGATGTGAAGTCAAAAGATTTCAGAGAGGCTGGTGATGATTGACTGAAGAGAGTTGTCAATGGTTTACCTTTCCAAGTCAGAAAGGTGTTTGAATAGGCATGGTTTCCATAGGTTTCCCAGTGCGAGGACATTACCATGAATGTTTCATGGCCATGTACCTCTAATTTGCACTGTGAGTAAGCCAACGCAGTATGATATGGCATGTTCTGTGCAGTACATTATGTATAGAATCATAGTCACAGTCCTGTATTGCCTGTGTATCTCGCTTCCCCCTTTCTCTATGTTGGGAAATGATTTTGCAGCAAGTTGTGGCACAATTGGCCGGTGTGCGTGTCCAATCATGTGTGCTGTGCCTTGCTTTGTTGGCAAATGCATTGCTATATATAGGGTTCTGACCGTCAGATCGATTTTCCCAATGATGTTGCGCAGTATCAAAGTGAATGTGATGTCCCTGATGTGCTGTGGATTGCAGGGCTTGGTGGCGTTTGGTTGTTGTTGCGCGCTGTGCGGATCTTGCAGAGCTTCATGTTCTCTTGCACAAGATGCTGCTTCTTGGCCTGGAGAGGAACTGAAGGGCCCCATGGACGTGAATTTGGCAGTGGAAGGAATAGTTGTGGGCGTTGAGGTATGTACAGCAATCTGTATGTTACGGCAGCCATGCTTTTCTTGCCTGATCCATGGCAGTAGTTGAGGACTGGACAGCCAAAGTCAGGATTGTGACATGTGGACACCTGCAGTAGTTGCTGCTCAAAATCTATGAACACGAAGCTGACATTGATCCAGCAGGTAATGATGATGATGTGGTATGAATACGAGGCCTTGTGCCCCAGGAGACCACTACGATGTCGGGGAATGCTGTGTATTGTTTCATATTGAAAATGTTGTACAATATACATGGTGGACAATGTAGACTGCTGGATGAACTGATGAATTCTGATGAACTAAACTCACTGGGACCCTGTGCCTTGATCTGTGTGTTCTTGTAACATCAATGAAATGGACATGGTCAGTGATATATGCCTGTATTGTGGACTTGTCAGGGCGGGTGAACAGCTATCATGCAGCACACGAGATGAGGATGCTCTTCATTGCAGTGGATTCTTTCGCAGCACGATTTGTGGATGGTGATGCCAAGGTGAGGCTTCAGCACACTGTCGTGGTACGATTCCTGTAGTGGCTGAATGCACTCGGGCGATGACATCATCAGATGTACGAAAGATCTTTCAGTTACACAGCTGAACATATATTTTGTTCATGCAGTACTTGAAGATGCAACCATATGCAAGCGCGGGCTGGGGCCATTTGCAACTATTTTGTGTGTCAACATAATCCCGTTGACAGATTTGTGATTTGTCAGTCAGCTGATAATATGCAGCTGATGAGTTCCTGTTCTGAAAGCTGTTGCTTGTGAATGCGTCAGCTGCATTTTCCTGACAGCTTATCAGAGATCCATTCATGAATCTGTGATGTTCTACGCTGATTACGGCAGCAGATGCAACAGCACGCTGCCCTGTAGACACCCAACACATTCAACTGCATGCCATGTGTACAACCTCCATCATGGACGATGCGCTACTTTATGCTGTCAATGAAGAAAAGCTCCTGTAGACATATTCGCCAATCAGGAACAGCAATTCTGTGCTACTTTGATCTGGGTACCTGAATTTGAAATAGCAGAATGAGTTCGGGAGACTTGCTAGTGCAGTGTTTGAACAAGCTGCGATGTTGTTGCCAGTTCTAGATCTTCTAGATCTTCAACGCATTTGTGACATCGTTGCAGAATTTGTCGTTCATTGAAACGATTGTGGTGATTTGTGCAGGACGGGAGCATGGACGCATGCCAGCAAGTGTGCCTGGTCGTGGTCCGCGCTTGCGCCCCATACCAGCAATGTTTGCACAACGGCTGTGTGGCCATGCCATGGCCACACAGCGGTTGTGCAAAAGCTTGCTGGCATGGAGCGCAATTGTGGGCCGTGAGCCACCGAAGAGTCCATTGCAGCAGAGGTGGCGGAGTACGGAGCCGGTTCGGACAATAGCATTTTGTTGGTATGCGGTGCTGTAAAGAAGCTCCAGTGGGCCCACAGTAGACCACAGCAGGCGACTCGCAGTTTCCCATCACAACCAGGAGTTCGCTGACGTCCATATCTGCAACGCCATGGAGGGCGTCCACAGCATGAGCACCAGAAGTCCATCGGAGCCGTTGCAGCAGCTGGCCATCCTGCTAATGGCCACCCAAGTGTGCTGTAAGTGTGCCTGTTTGGGTTCGCATTGGCGCATACACCCCACAGCAGCCTGCCCCCTCTGGCTGCGTTGCATTGTGGACATACCCTGCATCTCGCCCTGCCCAAGGGAAGTAGTGCTGGAAATCGGCCAGGAACAAGGCCCGTTCCTGTGCTCAGGGCTGTGATATGTGCTCAAATCATGACAGCTTCACAGCCAGGGCATCCTCCAGCCCAGGGCATCATGTAATCCTGCATACTGTAGGCATTGTGTTGCCAGTGTCCATTGCCACCTGTGCCTATCAAATCTTTCCAGGTTGCTTGGGTGCATAAACGCCCAACATCACCTATATGGAAGGTACAATGGTAGGGCTTGCCCTATGGAGGCAATGTACTTCAAATGTTGCCCGTCCACGTGCTGTGCCCTGCCACCTTAACCAACCCATCTCACAACAGCAAACTCCAACAGGGCAAATTGGAGGGCCAAGGGAGCTACCCATTGATGACGTTCAACGCTGGAACTAGTTCCACTGCGCTGGCACCCCTCTCCCTGATTGCCAAGACAATTGCATCGCCCAGGGCCTGGCTCTGTCCGTCATCAACAAGCGTTTCACTCGCCCTCACCACAACGTCCACGTTGTCTTCTTCCTCAACGGCCCTGGCAATAAGGACCGCTGCCCCATCCGCATCCCCGCACTTGACTGCGTTCACGATCTGCTCCTCCGTCACGCCACCGTCCACAGCGTCGGCACCGCCGCAACCCATCTCAGAAGGCGCCGGCTCTGCTTGCAAAGAGGGCGCGGGATCCTACACAACACGGTATTGTGTAACACAATATCGTACAACAACATCGTATAACGATATTGTGTAACACAATATCGTATAAACACAACTTGTGTTGATTCGGTAAAGTGTTTCTTCGATGTGTCTTTACGTTTGTGATGTGTTTATTCGATAATCGAATGAACAGCCGCATTTATGGTTAAACATCAACCCGCCCTCCACCACAGTATTGTGCTGGGACTGCGGCAATGCAGCGATTGCCGGCCTGTGCAACAACGCCCCATTGGGATCTCTGCAAGGAGCGGCAGGCCTGCCAGAGTGCCTGGGGCAGCGTAATCAATGGCTACCTGAGTGTGCTGTCTGGCAAGTCAGGATTTTTGTTAATGGAAAGGCCACAGTGTCCCACAACACATTGCAATAGTACGCAGCAAATTGCATCGGCGATCAAACCACCATACATCATAATGCTTTGGCTGGCTGAACTACCTACCAAGGCAAGCAGCCTGAAATTGAGGATTTAAACTGTCTTTCAAAGTCGTGAGAAATTTTCTACGGCTGAATCACTGCACAACAAAGGCCCCAAAATACTGCTTTTTTGCCCACTATGTGCGCAGGGCTCTCAGCGCACTGCTACTGGAGCACCACTTCTACATCCTCAATCACCGATAGCATGAGTATTCTTGAAGCAGCAATCTGCCAAAGCCATGCTGCCAAACAGGACAGCATGCTTTCAGTTTAGAGGGGAACATTATGCATGTATCATGTGGCGAGCGGAATCCATAATGAAGCTTTGTCAAAGAATGCACACACACAGAACCCACATGGATGCAGTTGCGCACCACATACCTTGGTGACCATCTGTACCATATCAGATAGCGACATGCCGAAAAATCTACCACCATTGCTGACCTTGTCACTGCATTGCGCTGAATTCCTCATCCACCTAAATCACTGCAAAATTTACCATTCGCTTATGCACGTCATGTCCATGACACAAGTTGCAGCAAGGCAGCGGCCGTTAGAGCACTCGATCAGCTAGCGCAATTCCTTTCTGAATCAACCAATGCAGCGCAATGCCCACCACCACTCTTCTGCCCTCCATTCTGTCGTCAATCCATTCGCGAAAACTGGCCACTCTTGTGAACACGCTTGACAACTTGCTGGTTCCACAGTCTGACTCGTCGTTGAATGACGTAATGCCAATGACTATGTCAAGGCTAGGGTCCCCCTCATCGATAACGCCACCAGGTGCAAACGCCTTCAGGAGCGGTCCTCCACTGTCACCTGCGAAACATTCAACGACAGAGCATCCCTATAATAGCGTTGACCTGAATGCTCAGGTGGATAAACCTGCTTCAGTTGAAGCGGATACTAAAGTAGAAAGCCAGACTCGGCGGACAAAGATGAAGGAAAACATCTCACCCGTAGATAATAGCTTCGGCTGGGACATAGTTTTCAACGCCCAAGGGACGTTACAGTTGAGATTTGGCTAGTTCTGAGGTTGCTAACCTTCACCTTGCTCCTGACAGACTTCCTGGTGTGATAGTTGCTGATAGACTGAACGATGCACACGTCCTCGGCATATCCAAAATATCCATGCAATGCCAACTAAACATTTGCGTCGACGTTTCCTGCATCGAAATTCGGTTGAATCCTGAGGTCTTCCACTGAGCGATCGTGCCCAATGTGCGGCATTAAGCAGGCCACATGCGACAGCACCACCACACAGCACATCAAGTTCCAAAAGGATCTTCCATTTTGGATCTTCCGCACCTTCACAAACGCTCTGAGATTCTCTAAAACTGAAGGCGCACACCATGGATTCTTTTATACGGCCACTCCAAAACGCTTCTGCGTTGCATACATCAGGACGCACAAATTCGATTGACGTGGCTTGTTTCAATTTCGTGGCACGACCAGTGCCGTTGGTTTGCAGTCCCCAGCACAGGGCCGCAAATTTTTGGCCAGCGCTGGACGCGTGCTTCCTGGTTGGCAGCAGTGCTGGCGTGTGGTTTGACGCCTTCGTCAATTCCATCACTGCAATATCGTTTCCGTCTGTCAGGCTTCCTGTCCAGGCCTCGTGGCTGAACGTCTCTCGGGCAGAAATTCTCTACAGCCAGTTCACACTTGGTTCAGCTGCTGTCAATGAATTCAACAAATCAGCAGATATCTTCAGCAACCAAATCAAGATAAGTTGTCGAGGATGTTTACGATACTGATTGATATGCAGTGACATGCTAATGCGATGAAATGTGAGAGTGTTCCCTAAATATTCTAACATGCAATCACATGGCTTAGACAATTGTGGAGGCGCCAGATGTCCCATCAGTACAGTGGTCGCCATATCGCAGGTCGGAATATAAGCACGGTATATGGCCATGTCCTGCCCCCACGGCTGCCATCCAGTTATGATGTGTCCATTCAGAATTTGGCCATACCCTGGGTATATATATCCAGGACGTGGCCATATTCTGGATGCGTATATCCAGGATATGGTACAAGATAGTATCCAGGATATGAGGGAGGATATAGAGTTCTCATATCTTGTTCCATATTCATGATGTGGGAATTCTATTGATGTACTGACACCTTGTTCCCCCCATTATTGCTGCTGCCCACTGGTTCACACAAAATTGTGAGTAATCGTCTCAAGAGCTCCCCGCTGGTCAATACACAACGACCCCATCGACCGTCCTATGAGGTTGGTGTATGTCAAAAGAGCCTGAAGCCTGCAGCTCCTTCAACCCCACCCCCTTTCCCTCCACAATTGATTACGATTGGCACTATTTGCAAATAGTGGATGAAGACCACAATTGTGGTCTTCATCGTTGACATCCCTTTCGCACTCACTCACACCACTTGCACACCTCCTCGAAGCAGCAACCATGCCCACAAGGTACTGAGTCAACTAGAATCAGTCAACCCATGGCCTTGCTCAGTGTTGCCTGGAGCTGTCCGGACAGCGCAAGCGACTTGCTGCATACTTGAATATGCCAGTCAGGGTGACAATGAGAGCAGTGTTACTGTTTCAGTGCACTTATGTGAAATCAATAGGCACACCAGGTATATCTACAGTATATAATGTGGTGCCGTATATCCCCCCAACCCACATTCCCTTTGGTGCTGTTGAGGTAGCTCTGATGCTCAAGGCAAGGGAGAGGGGAGGAAAAGGGGTGGGGTGGGCATGGGGGCAGATATCGTCAGCACTGTCAGCACATTTGACACTGTGAATGGCAACATTGCCTTGTCGGCTGCCACATTGCAACAGTGGCACCAATCAGTTGCTGTCACCACCAGTGGCACAATGCACTCATGCTCTCCCCCCCAATCTCGTTCTCAACATGTTTATCACCTTTAGCACCCTTGAGGAGGTAAGAAAGGCCAGTGTTAGGTGACAAAGCGTCAGCAGGAGCTAACAGGGCCAAAGTCTTGGCAAAGGAGCCACTATCCAAAGGAGGGCCAATGCCAACAGTGCCAACATCTCCAACACCTTTCAGCCAATATTGGCCAAGTTCTCAACATTTGTGAACATATTCATTGCTGACTAGTCCACTTAACAAAGGTGGGGCTGGTAAGTCCAACTGATGCTTCACTTGTACATGTTTGGGATTCGCTTTGCAGTATTGTCTGCCTATTCCCTTTATTTGGGGATTGCTTTGCTTTTGCAGAAACAGACATATTGTGATGCAACACTGGTGAGTTATATCCAACCTTGTTCCCTGCAAGTAGAGAATGACCCAATTTGTGGATGTGAATTAGCTGCTCACTCCAAGTAATGTATCCATATAAAATGTAGACATTTCAGGCCGCTCCCTTTTGTGAGTGCCTGTGCTTCTAAACTATTGAAGAGCTTATCTTTGCATCGCTTCTCAGGGTACCCAACTTATGTCTCCTCAGCCCACTTCACTGTTCATCATTCAAATGTCAAATAACCAGTTGCCTGTACTTGAGTGCTTACTTGCTGTATAAGTAACTTAAGTACGTACTTAAGTTTGGAACACTAACTTTGGAAACTTTTGCTTGCTGGTTGATAAATTGGCAGGTCGCAGCCCATGCCGATTTTGTGAAGCATGAGCATTAATGCTCATGCTTCATAAAATCGGCATGGGCTGCGACCTGCCAATTTATCAACCAGCAAGCAAAAGTTTCCAAGGTTTGTGTTGGCAAAGCAGCGCACTGGTGACCTACCATTTGGAGCGCGTTAGATCTGTTTTTTGTGTTCTAAACGAAACTCTTCTAGATAACCTCAATGTTAGTATACAAGCCTTTGCAAATCCCTTGGCCAGCTCCCTGCCGATAAAGGCAAGCAGAGTCACCCCCACCCCCACCCCCACCCCCCCACCCCACACACACAGACACACAGACACACACGTTTTTTCCAAAGGGGATATCGCCCTGATCGTCCCCGATTTCCTTCCTCTTAAATTCCAATCGGACAAAATGCCAAATTCACCACCGCCGACTAGCCTGTGCGCCGCCACACTCAATATACGCGATCCTTAGCAAGCAAACACTGTGGATGCCTCTAACGGCACTTCCTTATTGTCTTCCTCCCACAGATCCCGTAACTTCTCAACCCCTCGACTTGGGCGAATTCAATTTATGAAATTCCCCATCTCGCAATGTGGAATTGCCGATCTTCTCTGTTCAGCTCCCACTCAATTGTGTACCTCCATAGGTTGCCAGTTCAATTGGCAATTTGCCTCTATCACCTGCCAATTCAGCAGTGCCAAGTAACTCAGCAGAGAACTCAGCCTGCCTAATTCCCAATTTCCTTCCAAGCTAGTCTATTGAATTCGTTTGGCCCCGCAGCCAATTCCATTCAACATGATCCGATTGCAGTCGATTGTCCAACAAACCACTCAATTCATGCCTACTTGCATGCACTTGACATATTAAGTTCGAATCCAACCATTCTGTACATTATTCAGTGGCTCTAAGCCGTGCTGACACGTAATTGATGCGTTCACGCAAATCAGCCAACTGACATGGCCCTCACTAGGAAAAAAGGGCCAAATAACACTTTTGCGAACACACATAAACCACATTTCATCAAAGTTCTACACGCTAATAACACAGAAATAACACAAACCCGTAAACTTTGTACACGTTTGAACGCGTGTCGTTTGGCCCTTTTTCCTAGTGCCTAAGGGACCCACGCAATGAAGGCAAAACGCATTTTGTAGCTTTTGGAACTGCCGCAGCCAGTTGCATCCCCAACTCCACCCACCACAACCATGCTTGCCATCGGTATGTCTTATCGCTACCTTCGCGTGTCCAGTTTGGGTAACTTGCGGGCCTGCTCCCTTTCCTCCCTCCTTTCGGAGACATGTGGCAGGTCTACATTTCCGTTGCTTTGGGCCGGGACCCAAACTCTGTGTTTTCAGCACCACTGGTGGCAATGTGACTGGAAAGGTCGGGTTACCGCCGAAGACCCACGGCCACGGTAGCAGAGGCGTGTTCCTTACTTATAAAGGCAACACACGCAATTTTTGTCTCTATGCCTTGCTCACAATCTTCTCAGCGAAAATTCGAACAAGAGACAGTGCAGCTAAGAAGTCTCCATATGAATGCCAACCAACAGCCGTTCAAGCTGTGCAACCTACCCTTATGTATCCCTGGCATAGGAGTCCGTGCAAGTGTCCTTGAATACTGGGCAGATCGAACAAGAACTCTGCCGACTACGCGATGCAAAGATGTTTGACAGAAGGCCACAGTTGGGCACCAACAACATCAGAAATGGGTATACACAACAACTGGCACAACTCCTGGTAGCTCCTGGTGGCCACTGGCCCTCAGGAGCCACCCAGGAGAAAACAACATCTGATGCGATGCAAGCAGCATTTGGTGCCGTGATGCAGTTTCTGCAGGAGCCGAGCCCAGGAGCTGAGCTGAGTGTACTGTAGGCGCACTGTCAACTGCGCGATTCTTTTCTTTCCCAGTAGCCCATGGACGCTGAACCAAATGCAACATATTTGTCAGTGGAAAGTGATCATTGGTGTTGTCCACATCAGCAGCAGGACAGTTTCCCAGGCAGGCCATCACAAGAACACTGGCTTGTTAGGCCACAAAGCATCACAACACCCGCTCACAATTGGATCTGATCCCGTCTATGTGACTTGCAGAGAACAACATCGGACCAGAATTCGGACCAGTCGCTGTGCAAACACACTTGCACTTGGCAGAGTGTCGTATGATTGTGGGGCCGTTCGGTTCGCTGGAGCACTGACTGGCAGCGCATTTGCTCCTATCAATATGTTGGAAACACGATGGGGACAGCGGCAAACGACAGCGGTCGAGTACAGGCCAATCCTCAGGGCCCTCTCTTGTTCTACTGCCACAACTCCACGCCAGGTGAGGAGCGCAAAAAGCAGTGCCAGCAAGCGGGCAATATCAGTGCTGAGGATCGCATCAATGTGCGTGCTGACCAGGCTGGAAGCTCACATGTTTTTCGAGCACTAGTGAGTCCCAAGCGGGAGCCACCCAACGGCCTCTTGCCTTCAGGTTGCGTGCAGGTCACCGCGGAAAGGGTCGACAGCGCGAGGCACGCGAGGGCAGCAGGACGCCGCTGGTCCGTGTCATGGTGCACGCTCGCCGATCGGTGGTGCAGAGCAGTGGCACCAGGCTACAATCGCCAATCGCTCGTTCGGCTCAGGGTGGAAGCCCGGAATTGTAGCTCGCCGGTACCCGCTGCAGACATCTCGAGGGCCGGTGTCCAGCCGCGCTCCAATCTGAGTCCTGGCGGCAAGGCGAAAGCCTCCCAGGCGTTCCTGCTGGCGTGGTGTGCGGCCTGGTGGGTGTCTTCCCCCCTCGGTGTGCTCAGCAGCGAGGGCGGTGCGCGGGGTGGAGTAGGGCGGGTGCAAACAAAGGGCCTCAGGCGTCATGCGAAAGTCGTGCGGTGCTGGACCGAGTCACGTGCACTCGCACGTGTACTTTGGGCATCCAGTCGCACCCCGTCAGAAAGTGGTGAGCGCCTTCACCCACTGGATGCAGCCCACCGCCCATCTGCGTCGCGGCCTTGTCCCCGCACTGCAGCGATAAACAAGGCTTTTACAGAACTCGTTTAAAAAAATGTCCGTCACGATTGTCCATTCATGGTCCCATACTTCCATTATTGCCCAGTCGCTTCGCAGTACTTTGCGCCACACTAAAAATGACCGGCCCTAGTCAGCCCCCTCAATCTCGTACTCAAATCCCTTCACTGTCTCTCCATCACACAGCCAAAGCAAACCGAAGCAAGGAAAGGAGGGGGACCGAGGAGGCAGCCTCAAAATAGCCTGCCCCACACCGCCCCGCCAAAGCCCGCCAACACCCAAGGGCGCCAAGGTTTGCGGCCCCGAGGAAATTTCGTACTTTGACTGACCCAAAGTACTAGGAGCCAGAAAATGGCGGACGGTACCTAAGTTCGGAGCAATTAAGTAGCTGCCGATTTGAACACTGGCGCAGCCCACCCATCGCCCAGAAATTTCAGGCAGAAATCCGTTTACAAGATAGTGAACTTCATTTACGGCCGAGTTAGAGGAGCTCCTTTGATCTCCTCCTCCGAGGCGTCCTCACAATCACTTTTGGTGGTGTAGCCGGCCGCTTGCGTCCCCACTCCTTCCCTTCATAGACATATCGCAGCCACATAACCACGCCTTTGTGCCACGCTGTGCAGAGACCGGCCGCCCTCTGGCAATTCACAGCTGTCAATTGGTCACGTAACTCAGCCACGCTCGGAGTCTGCTGGTACCTCTTATCAGGAAGCTTGTCTCTTTGATCCATTTCGGTGCATAAGTTCCAACTGCAGCTTGGGGGTCTCCACACCAGCGAGCCTATCATGGAAAGAAAACCATACTCGTGGTTACGGACCCAGGCTGGGCGCTTTCCTAAAATCCTCATCCCCAGCTCTATTCCATTCAACCCTTTGTGTTCATAGTTCTGTGCCAGATCTAAAGGAACGTCGGTCACACCATCGTGGCGGGCTTCAGCGGCTCCGTCACACCACACAATCATGAGAATCTGAACGAGCCACCTTCTCAGTATGTCCTTGAAAGTGCTAAACAGCCCTTGCTCTACCTTGGTGAGTGAAGACCCAATAATGCGCCATTCCTGTGTGTTTATTTCAGCCAACCTTACAGCACGTTCCACGGTGGCCCTGGCCTCGTCATCAACTTCTGGCCACGCCATTGCACGGTACAAGACCACCTGCCTGGAGGCCGGCTCTCCTATGCCAGACAACGGCTTGTCCGGCAGATTTGGGTACAGGATCTGTTCCCGATTCAGCAACGTTAGAACGTCGTTGCACGTTTGATCCACGCTTGCGCGATTCAGCACTCTGTTTGCTCTCATAGGGTAATTGATCTGAAAAAGTTTGTGGAAGTGTGGGTGTCCTGCGCGCGCGTCTACACCAGCGAGCATCGCCCAAGTGTATCGAAGACGCCGCTTGTCGCCATTAATCTTGTGCATCTGCGAGTCCGCCAGCCAAGCAACTTCATGCCGTATGTACAGGGCGTTCTTCTGCGCGGCCTGCCTCCCAACCAGGTACTGATACACCGTTGTCCTCTTCTTAATCCTCCATGCACCTACCCTTTTCTGGGGGTCCTTGCTCTCTGTATATCTCCCTGTCAGCCTAGCAATCTGTGCCAGCATCCAGAAGAGCAACCACCCCACAATGGACACAATCTGGAGCGCCAAGAACAGCAACGCCGCTATTGGCCAGAGAGTGACATGGCCCAGCAGAGCTGTCACGTTGCTGAGCGCCGTCATAGGGTTAAATGCTTCCAGCACACGGTACATCAGTGTTGCAGCATCGCCACCCCACATACCAAATTCTGGGTCCTGTATTCTGTCCTCCCCATCATGCCACACCCAAGACGCCGTGTTCAACAACTTGTTGCTCAGCTCCTCCGCTTCCGCCATGAACACCACCTGCTCCGCCCACACGAGCGCTTTGTTGAGGTTGGTCCAAATCAGCAAACCAAGATCGAGTCTTGTCACAATCGGTGCCAGCACAGTCACAATATACTCTCTGCTCTCCATGTCATGTCTTCCAAGCCGGTCGCGTATGGTGAAGGCACTGGCCCCTGTGACGGTCAGAAGCACAACGATGCCTATTGTTTCAGCACCACGGGCTTGCATGCCAAGGACCTTTGGGGGCACCGCTCCTGTGGCTATAGCAATGCCAAGCAGGAACTGAACCATCACAACCACAATGGCATCCGGCCACCCCTCATCCTGTTGCTCTTCCCCTTCTGTATCCATTTTTCTCCTGCTGCCCCAGTCGTTGTCCCTGCGAGATTTTTGGCCTGTCCTATAGCAATAACGAAGCAGCCAGCTCGTCAGCCCGTGCCCAATGGAAATTGTGCAGCATAATGCATTCTTCTACTGGCATTTTCACCATTCCTGCCAGTGCAAGGGGGGTGGCGTTGCTGGAGACGTTTACTTGCGGAGCACCTAAAATGAAAGCTTATGTACACCGGCCTGATGTCGTGCTGTCTTGTCTGTCCCCGCTCCTAGACTTCATGATGCTACCAATACCCTTGTGCGCTAATGTTTGGTCGCTAGTGCCACGCGTCCATTCTGTAGGCAGCCCTAAAAACGCAGTAACAAGGGGGCGACGAAATCCTGTGCAGCACGTTCTCAGCGATCCTAATAGCTCCTAAACTTCTAAAGGGAGGCAAAATACCCTCTTTGCGTTTTCCACCGTGTACATTTTCTCAGGAGGAAGTTGTTGAACGCGCTTCAAGAGGCTGTTGCAGCTGCAACAGCTTTGGTCGGATCGATGGCCCCAAACGCTCGCTGCGCTGTGTGTGCGCCTCCTGGATCGCTTCACACAAATGTGGCTGACGTGCGTTGAATCGACGCCCAGCCGAGAAGGAAGATCATATTTTCATGTATGCCTGGCGCTCTCCAGTGATTGACCTGGCGGACATGCGAAGTAGCATCGGGTCGTACCAGAAGTCTACGCGACGAACGCGAAGGCGCCTTACGTCGACTCGCTGGCGCACAAATATCCTCGGCCGGCAGTCTGCCTGCTGCCTTCACTCCCTTTCTACCTCAGCTTGGGCCCTTCCCGTATTTCTTCTTCCCAAACTCAGCCAACCAGTCAAAAGTGCATGTTTGACGTGCAGCGGCACCGGCTTCGATGCACTTGACGTGCGCGTGGTTGTTCCCACGGCGCCAGTCAAAAGCTTTTCCGTGCCAGTGCTGGCAGCAGTGCACGTTTATGTATACCGCTTTGCCGCGATCCCATCCCTACACGACCTGCTCTACCGCCGGATATCCGGGAAGGTGGGCAGGCGGACGACCAGCGCTGACTCAAGCGCGGGAGCATGAGTGGCGAGTCCTATTTATATAGGACACAGCATATATGCTGTGTGGCATGGCCCCACGCAGATGCTCACCTGCAGCCCCGCTGTCGTCGGCGGCGTGGCGCGGGTGGTGGTCGGTCGCCTGTGCAGCACAGAGGGCCGTGTCACCTTTCTACATACCGCAACACAGCACAGCACAGGTAGCACTCGGTGCATCCCACACGGGTCGCTTGCAACGGCATGGAAGCGGGCGAGAAACAGGCGGCCGATAGCAAAACCGAAAGGAAAGCTCACCCGCACTTGCGTGTCTTGTCGTCGTTCGCTCTGCAGTGTTCGCGCAGGTTGGATGGGGCGGTCAGGCGCGAAGCAGAATTTGGTAGCGGTTGCACCGTGCTGTGTGGTTTGTCACTCGCGAGGGCCGGTCATGCGGAACCGGGCGTCATTCGAGATGTTTCGTCGCCAGCGCAGCCGTAATACAAGCGGCTTCGGGCCGGCTGCGCGCAGGGCAAACGGCTCGGCGGGGCAACGAGGCAAGAAACAGTCACGTGAAAAATTCGCGGGGCGTGCTGGGGGCGAGCAGGCGCGCGGGTTGGGGCCAGCATCGAAGGGGGGCCGAGTTGTGTATATGCGCTTACGGCACCCGATGGCGACTCGAGACGCTGTGCGGTGGGTGTGGACGCTGGATCGGCCCCGGAACCCGCGGCCTGGGCGCAAGGATCTCAATGTCAAAGCCACACCCGAAACCTCCAGGTTTCCAGTGGAGGGCCAGCGGCTCCACTGATTTCGAACGTGGAACCAACGGAGAGCTTGCCGCTGGTTCCCTCGCGCACCACTGGGCTGGCATGAGCTCCGGCGAAGTGCCGCAGCCAGCACCTGGACGTCCAGAACCGCGCTCCTATGCTTATGCCGGACTGCAAACGGCTTCCTCTCGGCCAGCGGCGAATTCCCGGGAAGGCAATCGCCCACTTCTGCTGGACAAGCCATCTCGATCCGCGGGCCAGGGCAGCCAGGTCATCCACCGTATACGACAAAGCGGCACCGGCGCAGGCCTTTTCGCAGGAAGCTGAGGGGGGCAGCGCTGTGTTGCCGCCCAGCAATTTGAGTCGACGGCCCAAAAATGGATGTGCTCCCCGCAGCACGGCCAATTTTCTGTCTCAACAAAGCGCCTTGGGATCGGGCACGCGACGAGGAGAGGTGTTCGGCAATAGTCGTACGGCCGATGTGCCTTTTGCGGCTGGAACCGACAAGGCGGGGATTAGGATTGGATGCTCGATCAGCCACGGATCGCGGGCTTGTGGACGTCTCCGCCAGGCCCGCGCTCCAGCCTCTGCGCCGAAGCAGCCTCGACGCCGGCGTCGGTTCGCTACGGCTGCGCAATTGGCGCCCCCGCGCACCTTCACCGTCCGGCGGATCCGCTGGAGCGCTTCCGCCCTTCCAGGGTCTTGCAGCGACGCACCCTTGCGACAGTCCGGATGGGGAGTCCTCAGGACCGGGGTCGGTGAGTGGATTGCGTCGTTGGCTCTGAAGCTGGCCGGCGAGGCAGGTCGCCAGCGCCAATGGCCCACAGGCTTTGGGGGGCGCTGCTGTAGGTGCCGAGGTAGCGGGTGTTGGGAAGTTGTGCTCCAGGACCACCTTCTATGTGTTTGCATGGCGGGCGCTACATTCGCTGCCCATGTGACCTTGGCGGTCATTGCGTCTGCTCAGAGTGACTGACGGTCCACGACCGCCGGCCTCTGCGCGTCTCCGAGGTACGCGGACGCGCTACCACTAGGAAAAAAAGGGCCAAATAACACGTGCTCAAATGTGTACAAAGTTTACGGGTTTGTGTTATTTTTGTGTTATTAGCGTGTAAGACTATGATGAAATGTGTTTTATGTGTGTTCGCAAACGTGCTATTTGGCCCTTTTTTTCCTAGTGTACTGGGAAGCGATGGCGATGACGTGAGGCTTTATTGGACGGCGGTGAGGACGTCCCCACAGATTGGCCGACGAGTTCTCTTGCTGTCCCGTGGATGACGGTGCTTTCCAGCAATGATGGGCACGTGATGGGGGGGAATCATCGCTCGGACATTGTGGGATTACGCTCATTGATTTCATTTGATTTGTTTCATTTGGGAAGCAGCAGACAATTGTTTCGTCCAGCTAAGCATGTAAGTGCCGACACCTAACTTCATGTAGCATAGGAAATGCAGGTGCGTGACAGACGTCTAACTTCGTGGATGTAGAATAATTAGCGAATCGACGTGTTCATGTAGTGACTTCATTAATTCGTTTTATTTTCTTTTATTTGAGTACAATTATTTCCTCCGTCCCAAATCAGTTGTCATCTATTTAAATAAAAATTTAGAAATTGCATTAAACCCATCGTTACGAAATCGGCCTCTTATCATCGGTTTTCAAGGCACAGAAGCAGGACCAACACTATGAGCTGCTCTCCAAGCTCACTTGCTTCGTCCAGCCTGTGCATTCAAATTCCGCATCGGCTCCAGACCCGCATGGTTCTGATCACTCCAGTCCCAGCTATGTCAAAGCAAAGTCGTTGCTCTCATCGTGGCGCAGGGAGTCCTGCTCAGGATACACCACAATATACTATACCCCTCCGACTTAATAATCAACAAATTAAGGGCCAACATTTTGGCTCCCCACTTCTTTCAGAGCGTCATTGCCTTTTTTTCACTCAACATCGTGACCCCCAGGTCCAGGGTGGGCTATAGAACCTCCAGGGCCAAGCTTCAGTTTCAGCTGACTAGTCCCCAGCCTCCTACGTGCGCGCTCCGTGCGGCCCACACGCCGCAGGCGTCTGCGAAGCGTTTGGCCGCACAGCGCTCTGCCTGTTCCTGGCGCTGGCTAGCAAGAATCTCAACGATGCGCCGGAACAAGCAGAGAAGCGGATTGGCGCTAAGCCTGAGGCAGATTCGAAAGGGGGCGGGACTCGGCCGGTGGGGCCCGCCCGCCGGCTGAGGCACGGCTAGGCAGCTGGCGCTACCCAGGACACAGCCGGCAATTTCCAGACGACTTTGGGTGCAGCGCGGACACCCAGCGGCGCTGCGAGCTGCAACGAACCGAGCTCTTTTTGAAGCAGGGCTGGACGCCACATCATTATTGGCTGCGCCACAGTTTTTGCCGCCCCGTTTCAATTTTTGTTATTGCTGCGCAGAAAGACCATACGTTACGTTAATATGCGCAAGGGCGCAATGTGCTAAGATGCGTAACAGAGTGGCCGCTTGCCGTGGCGGATGGGCAGATGGTGCTAGTTTTGGATCGGTGGGCCCCAAAAGACGTCGCGGTGCTTGCGGCTGGCAAGGAACCTAGACCGCTCATGTGCGGGGCACATGCACGTGAATCGCGCCAAGGGGGGCGGCATGTAAAAGCTACTGATGTTCGACCACGCAAATTGTTCGATGCAATCTCGTTCCCCCTTCCCAATCGGATTCAAACAAAACCCACCGCCGGCCCCCCCCCTTGCTGAGGACACCATTGCGGTGGTCCATTTGCGTTGGCAATCGCCTGCACCAATCCCCTTTTGAAGACGGCAACCACCGCACGCTTTGAAAGTGCCCCGTTTACAGGCCCTCATCGAGGTGCAGTATTCCCACGGTTCCACCAACTGGTAAAGTACTGGGTGGAAAAAGGCCGTTTTCTGCCCATTCCAGGCGAGGCTGCCCGCCACTCCCCGAACTCTTGAAGTACAAATGTACTGACCTTATGCACGGGCTGTATTTACGTCGTATTTACGTTGCATTTAGGCGTTTGATGCATAATGCAGGGTGGTTGCCCTTGTCCTTCCAGATCTCACCGTCCCCTAGGCTGAGGACCAGGGATGCCGGACACGTTCGGAAGCCCATGCTCCGCTGCTGATAGGACGTGAAGAGGTGATCTGCACCCGTCCGGTTCCCGCCGCCGGCCGAAGCGATATTATTCCAATATCAATTGCGGCGTCATTTGGCGCTTC